CAGGAGTTCCAATTTTAAGAATGTATTCACAGATATGCTCACTCACATTCTCAGTAGAATCCTGGAAAGCCCCTTTTGCAGAGCCTCTGCAGCCTCACGTGAGGTTGGAGAGGCTCTCTGTGGGCTGATGAGGGTGACCCTCAGGATAACATGACAAAAGCCTGGCCCAGGATGGTGGCTGTGGGATGTCCCTAGGAGTGCAGAAGTTTGAGGCAATGTGCAGCATCATGAGCCTGGATACATACACGCTAGTTCCAAGACACACCCCAGGTAATGTTAAGTGGGTAGCTCCAGGCTTTTTATACCTCCTCATGTATATTTCACCTTTTCACAAAATCACAGTAGCCTGAGGTCGGAAGGAGACTGAGTCTATAACCTTTCATAAAGTTCAGGTACTGTTTTCCATGTGTCTTTTCTTTTCTTTCGTTCTTTCTTTCTTTTTTTTTTTTTTAATTTTGAGACAAAGTCTCACTCTGTCACCAGGCTGGAGTGCAGTGGTGTGATCTGAGGGTGTGCACCACCATGCCCAGCTAATTTTTCTATTTTTAGTAGAGTTGGGGTTTCACCATGTTGGCCAGGATGGTCTCAATCTCTTGACCTCGTGATATGCCCACCTCAGCCTCCCAAAGTGCTGGGATTACAGGTGTGAGCCACCAAACCCAGCCCCACATATCACCTTTTCAAAATGTAACCATAATGATAAACTGAAAGGGAATGATGATCGTGGGTGTGATACTCTCTATGCTTGTCTCCCTCTTATTTCAACCTGGATTCTGAGAGCAGGGACCCTGTCTGATTAATCCCTACACTCTCAGCTCCCATACCCTGCCACCAAGAAAAGCCCAGGAAACATCTGGCAAATGAATGAATGAATGAACGGAATGCAGAATGCATGATTGAGAAGCCTGTAATAATATTACCAGGCTGGGGTGGCCCCTGCATTCCTCACTCAGAACTGAATCAGTAAAGGTGTTCTTCCCCTAAGCCTGAGGCAGGAAAGTAGCCCATGCAGGGCTTCCTAAGGCTTGCAAGCACCCAGAACACACACTGGCAGAGAACGGAGGCCAGATGGCAATGGAGGACTCTCCCCTTCCCCCGCACGCGCTCATCTTCAACTTCCTTTCTTGTCTCCACTCTTTCTGCTTATCTGCCTCTTCACTGAGGGAGTGTCAGGCATGGGAGGGATGGGCTGCCGGAAAGAGGCCAAGACTAGGAACAGTGCATGGCTGCCAATGTGCTGATGAGCCCCGGGCAGCTCTCGTTGTCCATCCCAGCTTCCCAGTCGTCGTCTGTGGACAGGCAATTTAACATCCCCTGCCCCTCCCCCCGCCCCACGTTGCCAGGTGGCTCTGAGGATGAAATAAGATCACCTATGGAAACACATGGAAAGTGCCTGGCACATGGCAGGTGCATGTGTTGTCACTCCTGCCTGACCCCTGGCTCTGAGATTTATCAGAATCCACAAAGATCAAGTTGGAATGCAGACATGTTAAACAATAAACATGATTAGAAAACTATACATCTGCATGTTAAAATGTAAAAGTAACCACTAGAAAAATATAGATAGAAGGTATAATTTCCAAACCACTAGAGGAAAAACAAAATAGAACCAAGACAGTTCAATCAATTTAAAAGTGAAAGAAAATGAAATCATAATTAACTGAACATATAAAGGAAGATGGCTAAATAAGTCCCAACAGATCAACAACTACAATAAGCGTTAATGTTTTCCACTTACCTATTAAGAGGCAGAGACTCTCAGAAAGGCTCTTTATGAAGCCCAGCTTCTATATGTTGATAAGTAAGGCAAAGCATCACAAGAGCTCCTTGGTGTTGGAGTTCCTGCCTGCCACCTTCTATGCACTCCTCATTACCTTTCCTGCCCTGATGCTCCTAGCCTTAAATCCTCAGAGCTAAAGATCTGGGTCACTGAGGAGCACCCTGTGGTCACTCAAGATAGGGTGGGCTGGTGGTTGCAGCCACTTGTCCATCACCTCCTTTCTGCAAATCAGGAAGGATGCTCATTCCTGAGTTGAAACACACTGCAGGAGGAGGAAACCGGCTACAAGTTGCTGGAGACCCTAGGACAGCTGCACACCCCTCTCAGAGGATTACAGACCCTTGCATTGTCTCTTGTCCCCAGGGCCAAGTTCTGGAGCACGTGTACATAGAGCGCAGTATCCGGACTCAGCCCTGTATAAATATCTTCAGCCTACTCTCAGCTGGACCTTTATAAGAGACTCTGAACTCCCCTTAAAGAGAAAAGGGGTCGGGCATGGTGGCTCATGCCTATAATCCAAGCACTTTGGAGGCCAAGGCGGGCGGATCACCTGAGGTCAGGAGTTCAAGACCAGCTTAACAACATGGTGAAACCCTGTCTTTATAAAAAATAAATAAATAAATAAATAAAATAGAGAAAAGGGACCAGAAAAAGGAGTCATCAGAGTGAGATTATTAGCTGAAGCTATCTGGGCTATCCTTTATTACAAATGAGGAAACTGAGATCCAAAGAAGATGGTCTGTGTAAAGACACACAGCTTGTTAATGGCAGACCTCTCCAACATAATCCCAAATGTAGTTATTCAAATACTGATGTCATGAGTTCTGCCACAGCAGAGTACAATCTTAAACCCATGTTTTTTCTTTTTTTTTTTTTTTGCTAACAATTTTTTTTGTTATTTTTTCTTTATTTTCTTTTGCTAACAACATTTTTTTTTCTTTTTTTTTTTTAGAGATAGGGTCTTGCTCTGTTAGCCAAGCTGGCTGGGTGTAAACTCATGGGCTCAAAGTGATCCTCCCATCTCAGCCTTCTGAGTAGCTAGGACTGCAGGCACACATCCCTGGGCCCAACTGACAAAATATCTTTCATTTGAAAAGTTTCCTTACCAAAATATACTTAGTCCATAAAGCAACTTTATGTCACTTGCCATAAATTGAAGGTAACTCACAAAATGAATGGGGTGAAGACATGTTTTTGGTTAGAAACTGTTGTCATTTCAAACTGTAAGTTCGAAGACTGCTCTTCTTCTGTCAAAAAGGGAGATCTGGGCCAGGTGTGGTGGTGGCTCACACCTGTAATCCCAGAATTTTGGGAGGCCCAGGTGAGCAGATCACTTGAGGTCAAGCGTTCAAGACCAGCCTGGCCAAAATGATAAAACCCTGTCTCTACTAAAAATACAAAAATTAGCTAGGCATGGCAGCTCGCACCTGTAATCCCAGCTAATCAGGAGGCTGAGGCAGGAGAATTGCTTGAACTCGGGAGGCGGAGGTTGCAGTGAGCTGAGATCGTGCCACTGCACGATCAACAGAGTGAGACTCTGTCCTCTCCACCTCCAAAAAAGGGAGATTTGCAAGCACTAGAGAGGTGTTAAACACTTATCAGCACATACCTGAGACCTTCTACTTTTACCTTTTTTGAGACGGAGTCTCGCTCTGCTTTGTATAATCAGAAGGATTGCAAGAGAAATGAAAAAGGATGGACCCTTCTCTCTGTCACTCCGTGTTGCTTCATGTGCTTCTGTGCACATCTCCTAGTCTCAAGGACTTTGTCTCAGGTGTCCTGGGGCCCCAAAGGCTGGTCCTAACCTCCCCACCCCATGTCCCTGCCTATCCATCTGTAAAATGGGGATCAAAATTTGTACTGCTGAGGGATGTTGGAAGCCGAGAAGCCGAGTAAAGCAACATGGAAATCCCCAACGCATGTCCTCCCCTGTGGTGTTAGAGGTGTTATCACCATCAAACCCTGAAGGAGGGGACACCTCTGCATCTCCCCCAGCCCCCATTGGGAGGTTTGCTCCCTCGGCAGCCGTCAGGCTCTGGATCCTCCATGAGGTCGCTCACAGCCCGCCACGTGGGCAGGCTGGCAGTTCTGCTTCCCTGGATGGGACACCCCCTCCTCTGCCTGGCTATCAGTTGAGGCCTCTGTCTCTGCAGGAAACCGGGATGTCTTAGTCCATTCCTGCTGCTGCTGTAACAAAGCACCTCAGACTGGGTAATTTACAAAGAACAGAAATTTATTACTCACAGTCCTGGAGGCTGGGAAGTCTTAAGATCAAAGTCCTGTCAGGCTTGGGTGTCTGGTGGGGGCTGCTCCCTGCTTCGAAAATGACGTGGTGTTGCTCTGCCCTCACACAGAAGAAGAGATGAAGGGGCCAGGCAGCTCTCTGTTTTTTGTTGTTGGTTTTCTTTCTTTCTTTCTTTCTTCTTTCTTTCTTTCTTTCTTTCTTTCTTTCTTTCTTTCTTTCTTTCTTTCTTCCTTCCTTTCTTTTTTTGAGACAGGGTCTCTGTTGCTCAGGCTGGAAAGGAGTAGCACACACACAGCTCACTGCAACCTCCACCTCCTGGGTTCCAGCCATCCTCCCACCTCAACTTCCCAAGTATCTGGAACTACAGGCACACGTCACCATGTCCAGCTATGGTTTTTTTTGTTGTTGTTAGTGATGAGGTTTCACCACTTAGCCCAGTCTGGTCTCAAACTCCTGGGTTCAAGCAATCAGCCTGTTTCCAAAAGTGCTGGGATTATAGGCGTGAGCCACCAAAATGGGCCCAGACAGCTCTCTGAAGCCTCTTTTATATAAGGGCAGAGCCTTATTTGTGAGGGCAGAGCCTGCATGTCCCAATCACCTCCCAAAGACCCAGCCTCTTAATACCACTGCCTCAGGTTCTCAGATCCAACATGTAAATTTTGGAGGGACACATACATTCAAACCATAGCCCTGGGCTTGTCTTGCTCCCCACCTGTCCACCCACCCCACCAGCAGGGCCTCTGCTCCCTGGAGCAGGCACTGAAGGTGCCATTTATAAAGCCAGAGATGGAAGAGCCCTGCAGGGTCACCTCGTGCAACCTGACCCTTTTACAGATGGGAAGACTGAGGCCAAAGGCAAGGCCTCCTCCCTTAGACCCTTGGGCACAGTATCTTAGCAAGGAGCTGATCAGAGGTCCGTGAACATATTTGGGATGGGGAGTGAGGAAGAGAGGGAAAAAAAACCACACTGACATGTCAAAACGAATAAATGTTTAATTAAATGCCCACAGAATATAACATTAGTCAACTAGTCAACTGCATCTCAACTCCACTCTTGTGTAGTTATACATAAATTTTATTTAATGAGGCATGTGGGTGCCTTGTAATACGTTGATGTGAAGCAGTATGGAAATGCCAAACTAGAACCTAGCAGAGGTCTTAAAATAGCTCTGCCCACGAAAAAGAAGGGGTTTGCCAAAGAGCCCTCATTCATTCAGCAAGCACTAATGAGCCTGTGAAGCCAGAAGAGCCCACATGAAGGGTCTCTGACCCTGCCCAGGGCGGCTCAGTCCTCCCTGGCCTCTGACTCTCATCTCTGGGCGTCCTGTCCTGGACATCTCTCTATCCATCTTCCCCAGGGCAGGGTATTTGTTTGCACATATGGGGCAATTGAGGCCCAGAGAAGACAGGGCAGGCCTGAAGTTACCCAGTGGCAGAGCAGGGATCACTATTCAGACTCCCTGGCCATGCCCCTCCTGGAAGCAGGCAGGCCAGCATCCCCAGGGACCCTTCCCCACCCCTCATGAATATTCCCATGGCTGACCCAGCCCTCCCGCTTCCAGAAGTCTGCAAGGAAACCCATTACAGATTCATGCGGCACCCGCTGCATTTCCAATTAAGAGAACACAGTTATTCTAATTTTAACATCCCTCTCTACTACCTCCATTCCCTCCCCTTCCCCTGCATTTATGTAAGGGATGTTTCTGCCTCCCGAGAGTGTGATGCAGCCCGAATCTCTTGCCTGTTGCTTAGGATGAGTCATCTTTTGGAGGGCTCTTTGTAATGCGGGCAATGCTTCTCCTGAGATCCCTGACAGACACTTCCCCAGTAAGCAAAGAACACCAACCCAGGGGCACTGAACCAGGCTGGAGGCTGGAGGACTCAGCTCCTATTGACCAAGACCCTTAGACTAAGTCCAGCCACCTCCCCAGGCCTCCAGGGCCCTGCCTGGCCTTGCCCTGTAACTGACTGTCTCCCCTAGTCTAGGGTTGCCAGATTAAATACAGGGCACCTAGTTACCCCGGAATTTCAGATAAACAACAAATCATATATATATTTTTTAAGTACAAGTATGTCCCATGCAACTTCAGGACATTTGCACTTTAAAAAAAATCAGTCATTGCTTACCTGAAATTTCAGAGTAATTGGCAATCTGGCAACCTACTCTGGCCACGCTGTCCCATAATCCCAATAACTTTCCCACCACAGGGCCTTTGCTTGTGCTATTCCTTCAGCCTGGAATCCCCACCCCTGCCCCCAACCCAATTCCTTGATACTGAGGTTTCACTTCAGATGTCACTGCTGCAGAGCCATCTTCCCTGAGCACCAAACAGAAGTGGGGGTGCCACCATACTCCCTCCTATGGCCTTGTCTTACCTTTCTCACAGCACTTGGCACCGCCTCAGAAACACGTCAGCTCTGTGAGAGAGGCCAAGTCTGTCCAGCAGAGGGCAGGGCACAGAGTCGGTGCCCAACGCATGTGTGTCCCACAATGTTTGATATTTCTTTTTTTTTTTTTTTGAGACGGAGTCTCGCTCTTGTTGCCCAGGCTGGAATGCAGTGATGTGATCTCGGCTCACTGCAACCTCTGCCTCCCAGGTTCAAGCAATTCTCCTGCCTCAGTCTCCCACGTAGCTGGGCTTACTAATTACTGCCACCACACCCTGCTAATTTCTGGGTTTTTTTTTTTTTTTTTTTTTTTTTTTTAGTAGAGAGGTTTAGAAGAAGGTTTCACCATGCTAGCCAGGCTGGTCTTGAACTCCTGACCTCAGGTTATCCACCCACCTCCACTTCCCAAAGTGCTGGGATTACAGGCGTGAGCCACTGTGCCTAGCTGATGTTGGATATTTTTTTCTCAGCTCACTGTAACCTCTACCTCCCGGGTTCAAGCAATTCTCCTGCCTCAGCCTCCCAAGTAGCTGGGACTACAGGCACATACCACCATGCTCGGCTAATTTTTGTACTTTTAGTAGAGATGGGGGTTTTACCATGTTGGCCAGGATGGTCTCCATCTGTTGATCTCATGATCCGCCCACCTTGGCCGCCCAAAGTGCTGGGATTACAGGTGTGAGCCACCGTGCCCGGCTGCTTTTCTTTAATTAACTCATTTAATCTTCCAACCCGACCGATTGAGGTGCTTCCATTTCCCAGGTGTAGAAACAGACACAGAGAGAGCAGGCAGCTTGCTCACAGTCACACAGCTGATAACAAGTGAAGCCACGATTGGAATGCAGGCCTTCTGGCTCCAGCCCCGGCAGATCAAGCAGTGGACTGGTCCAGCCCTCTAGTAACTTCAGTGTTTACTCAGCAGACCTGCAGAAGGCCCGCCCTGGCCATGCAGCCTCAGCCCTCTCTTCACCTCAGCCTCACCCTTGATGCCACCACCACCACTGCCCAGCACAAAGCACAGCTCCTGACCCTGCTCGTCTTTGCAGATAAACAATGGGTGATTTTTTTTAGTCCCACGCACCTCCTTCCCTGTTTTCTTCTTACTCCTCCTATAAGATGCCTGAGCAAGACTCAGGATGCCACTTTCAGGGAGCCCACCCTGATCATCCATATCCTCTCCACTGGAGTGAGGTCTTCTCTGAGCTTCCTCGGCACTGGCCCCACTCCGGCCCTGGTCTAAGCCTGCGCTTTGTCACACTATGAGCTCAGAAGCATGGAGTGGGTGGAAGGTCTCCCAGAGTCCCAGCACCACAGAGATGAATGCAGAATTGCAAGGTCCATCTTCTCATCAGTGTGAAACCTCAGCTTCTTTCATCTTTCCTGTCCTCAGAATAACTTTGGTCCCTGTCCCAGACTGTCCCTGACCAACCAGAGTTGACTCCTCTCGTGTGGACTGGAACAGAGACGAGAATTGGGGTGGCTGGTTCCCAGAGGGGCTGGCAGGAACAAAATCCATGTAGGACTTTTGGCTCAATGCCTCTCCAGACCAACCTAGAGGAAAACGCACACCATGTCTAGGAGGTTGTCCGAGGGAAATAACCAGATGAGGGCAGAGCTGTCTGCACCCGGACGTGCATTTTAGCATTATTGATGACACTGATGCATTAGAAGCAAGCTGGGTGCCCATTAAGTGGGGATGGGTGAGGCCACCAATGCTAAATCACACCTCTGCTGCAGCTTCCCTTGCTCTCTGCTGATCAGTCACGATAGCCACACACTCGCAGTCTGGAACCTTTGAACAGTTGTACCTGTGCCTGGAACGCTCTTCCCCACCCGCCCATCCTCACGTGGCTAACTACCACTTCTCAAATGCCAGCCCAGTCATCACTTCCCTGCGAGATCCCTCCCTGACCAGGTCAAATCCCCAATAACATGGGTCTTCTTCCAGGAACGTGTCGCAGCAGCCATGGTCTGCCTCTAGAGGGAAGCTTGGTGTATCTTTTCCCCCTAGTTGACTGTAAACTCCGGTAAGGTAGAAATAGATCTGTTTTGTTCTGTTTTGTTTCCCAGTGGAAACTCAGAATCTAGGAAAGTGCCTGGAATACAATAGGCGCTTACTATTTGTTGAATGAACGTCTGATGAATGAATGACTAATGGATACAGGCCTGTACTTATTGGCAGGGCACACATAGGAAAAGAGTCCTGGAGAAAAGAGCAGCACACTGAAGTGGAGTCACAATCAGCAAAGGGGCTGCAGGTGATGCCTCTGTTCTTCTTGCTTATCTGTATTTTCTATTTTAATTAACTCCCATTACTCTGTGATTAGAAAAGTGGGCAGAAATCACCTAGGGGCTTGTTGAAATGCAGGTTCTGATTCAGCAGGTCTGGGGCCGGAGAATCAGCCTTTCCGGTGAGCTCCCCGAGTGCCGATGCTGTGATCTGAGGACCCAGTGTGAGCAGCGAGGCTGAAGACTGTTGCATGAAGAAGGAGGAGAAGGTGGTTAGAGAGCACGAGGAAAGGGGACAAGAGGGAAGGGGAAGTGGCAGAAGAGCAGTTGCACAGGCGGCGAGGCCTCTGCCCATCTGTCAGTCCCCAGTGGAGGTGCCAGGCAAGGGAGAGGAGACTACCCGGATGCTGCCCAGAAGCTTCCCGGGGCACGGTGGATGGGAGGAGGCCCTGCATCATGAAGGGTGGACAGAGAGCTGTCAGCACAAGGCTGCACTGCTGGGTGGGGAGGCAGGCGTAGTTCGGGGATGGCTTTTTCTCGGGCATCTCCTCAAGACTTGCTCTCTATGTCCCTTTCTCACATGTCCTGAATCAGGCAGCGAGAAGCGACAAGTTGGTAGTGTCTTTCAGATCCCAGAGGCAGTATTTGTTGGTTACGCTGGGCTGGGCTTTGGGGAGGGGACGGCCCCTGTCCCACGGGCGCAGCAGGGGCTCTGAGGGCCCACCTCCCTCCTGCCGAGGGCAGAGCAGTCCCTGGAGCTCAGCACATCTGCTCCCTGAGGGCTTGGTTGATGGGGCAGGCTGGGGCCTGAGGATTGGGTCCTCTCCTTGCTAGGACTCTCAGCAGGCAAAGGATGGGAACCAGGCAGGCAGAGCCTGGCAGGACAGTCAGGACTAGACGCAGAAGCCTGGGCCTGTTCCTACTGCCCCTTGGGGTGGCAGAGGGAGCTGGGTTACATGACAAACAGGCAGTGGCAAGGCAAGGATGAACATTTTCCCCAAATACAGACCCATCCAGGGCCCCAAGCTGCCAGTCATCCCGTCAGCTGCCACAGAGCAGAGTGCACCCCCCCCCAACACTTACCCTTCAAACAAACTTCCTAGCCCAGCTCCAAACACGCCACCCCTCTGCTCAGGCACCATCCACCCCTCCCCACTGCCTATAGGAGAAGGCTGACTTCTTTTTTGTTCCCTTAAAGAATTTTAGCAAAACTATACCCCCAACATTTTAAGTTGATATCTGTAACTTTTCATCCTATTTAATGTTATACTTTCATTAATAGGAACTAGAAACTATTAAACATTGTACAGGATGAAATACAATGAGAGCTGGCCAGGCACGGTGGCTCACACCTATAATCCCAGCACTTTGGGAGGCCTAGGCAGGCAGATTACCTGAGGTCAGGAGTTCGAGACCAGCCTCGCCAACATGGTGAAACCTTGCCTGTACTACAAATACAAAAATTAGCTGGGTGTGGTGGCAGGTGCCTGTAATCCCAGCTACTTGGGAGGCTGAGGGAGAGAATTGCTTGCACCTGGGAGGTGGAGGTTGCAGTAAGTTGAGATAGCACCATTGCACTCCAGCCTGGGCAACAACAGCAAGACTCCATCTCAAAAAAAAAAAAAAAAAAAATACCCAGTTGTGGTGGTTCACACCTGTAATCCCAGCACTTTGGGAGGCTGAGGTGGGCAGATCACAAGATCAGAGATGAAGACCATCCTGGCTAACATGGTGAAACCCTGTCTCTACTAAAAATACAAAAAATTAGCCGGATGGGGTGGCATACGCCTGTAGTCCCAGCTACTTGGAAGGCTGAAACAGGAGAATCGCTTGAACCCAGGAGGCGGAGGTTGCAGTGAGCCGAGATTGCACTAAACTCCAGCTTGGGCAACAAGAGCAAGACTATCTTAAATCAATCAATGAAACAATGAGGGCTAATTGTTATTGGAACATGTTCAGGAGCCTAGAAGTTTCTGACCTTGCTGCCAAATGCCCCTCCCCCCACCTTATCAAATACCCCTTGTTTCAGCCCCATTCCGACTTCACCCCTCCCAGAGCCTCCTCCATCCCACCAACCCGGCACAGCCTCTTCTCCAAGGCTCCAGAACCTTCCATCCTGTGAAGGTCCTCTGAGCCTGGGGTATCTCCCTTGCTGCCCCACCCAGAGAAGTCCCGCCTGACTCAGGGCGCTGCCCCTTCCCAGCCCACCCCCAGGACGCCGCCAGCATATAACGTGAGCTAATGAAGGGCAGTGAAATAAATACATGGGCAGGCAGGGCATGAGGAGTAGATGCCAACGTCCCTAGGAGGCGATAAAGGCAAGTCAACTCTTCTGGCTTGGGGACAAAATTATCCACCTGGCAGTCAACAGGACTCGGTCTCCAGCTCAGGTGTCCAAGAAACAGCCCTTAATAATTTTCCTTTATCGTCAGGTGCGGTGGCTCACGCCTGTAATCTCAGCACTTTGGGAGCCTGAGGTAGGTGGATCACAAGGTGAAGAGATCAAGACCATCCTGGCCAACATGGTGAAACCCTGTCTCTACTAAAAAATACAAAAATTAGCTGGGCATGGTAGCACGTGCCTGTAGTCAGCTACTTAGGAGGCTGAGGCAGGAGAATCACTGGAACCCCCAGGAGGCAGGGGTTGCAGTGAGCTGAGATTAGGCTACTGCACGCCAGCCTGGCAACAGAGCGAGACTCCATCTCAAAAAAATAAATTGTTTTTCCTTTATTTTTGGAGCCCCCATTCCCTTCCTGCATTCAGTTCCAATGACTGGAACTGCCATTTCAGTCGTTCCTTAAAACATAACAAAAAGATTACATTGTCACATTTAACTGCCTTCCCCTGGATACAATCTGCTTGCCCACTGCCTCCAGGGACCCTGTGGGGAGTGGACACAGGTGGCCGGAACTGCAACTGTCACCTGCTTCTTTCCCATTTTAAGATGCTTCGGCTCCAAACCCATGATATTGAGGGGAAAAACAGAAACCTAACATGCACAGCCTCCTCTAGCCATTCCCTTTTCTCTTCCTCTGTGTTCATCCTGGGCAAGTTGCCAGGGAAAAGCTGAGACCGTCATTGAGTATGAGTGAGCTAAAGCCAGTCCTTCCATCTCTGCAATAACGGCTTGGAGTAGACTAAGGCAACGGTGGTCTCCTCTGCTCTGCCTGCACATGCTGATTGGTGGTGACCACCTGGAGCCTGTGTTGTAAGGAAGTCTGATGGAATTGTGCTTCTGCAGGAAAGAGTGATGGGAGCGACTGCAATATCTGCCAGGCCAGAGGAGACAGCACGATGGCTTTTACCAAGTAGAAAGAAATTCAGACATTGAAAATTGGTAGCCAGGTGGGGCTTTATGGCTCTTGCCTGTAATCCCAGCAGTTTGGGAGGCTAAGGCAAGAGGATCACTTGAGCCCGTGAGGTTGAGCCTGCAGTGGATTGAGATTGTGCCACGCCACTGGGTGACAGAGCAAGACTCTGTCTCAGCAACAACAACAGCAACACACACACAAAACTGGTGGCCCAAGGACAGGTGTTTTTGGCTCACTGTAGGTTGTTTTTTATAGTTTTTAAAACTTGAATTTTATTGCCATTGTTTATTTATTAGGTTTCATCCCAAGAAAGCTGGATTAGGGAGTCTGGAAAAGCAGAATTGGCCCTAGTGGGGCTTTGTTCCCATCTGGCCACAGTAGCTGGAGCCAAGCAGGTGAGGCCATGCAGTCCAGGTCAACAGCACCTCTACTTCTGACCCCCTGGATCAAGTGTGTCTACCTGGCCCGGCAGCATCCATATTTGTGAGCCCTGGACTTGATTACTGATTTGCTTCCATTGGTCTAGTGTATGGAGGGGAGTGCTAAGAAACAACACCTGGAGAAGGTATGTCACGGTCCCCAAGAGACTGGGGATGTGTTAGGTATAGCAGATTCCTCTTCAAACAGCTTGCTTAGACTCCTCATTCTTTACTCTCTGATTCCCTTGCACCTCCCTGCCCCCAGTCACTGGCACTGCAAACAATCTCTTCCTTCTCTATTGGCCTTCCCTAAGATGCCAGAACATGTCTCAGCCCCAGTCTGCATTCCTTTCCTTATTCGGAAATATGTTAGCTTTCTAGTTCCCTGTAGACGACCCTCTCCTCTCCTTTTTTCTCCTCCATCACTCACCCACCTTATCTAAAAATGTTTAAGTGTTTAGCCAATTGGGACTAGTTTAGATTGTGTGGTCTGACCCCAGCCAATAGGGAAAAGACACAGAAGCAAGGTCTGTGTTAAGAATCAAAACCCCTACTCTCCTTTGTTGGGTGTGCTCTTGCGATTGTGACTGACGCAGTCAGCACCCTTCTGCAGAAGTAAATTGCCTTGCTGAGAAAACTCTTTTGCCTGAGTGCTGGTTCCTTCTTGTGGTGCTGAGCATTTATATCTAACAGATGGCTGCCCTGGACCACCCAGGGAGAGGAGGGAAGAAAAGTTCACATTTATTAAACACCAAATGTTTACTCACCACTGTTGTGGGCTGTGGTGGAGGGAGGGGGGTTCAACACAGGAATTTATTATGCCCACGTGGCAACGCTGTGAAGGAGGTCATATAATTACTATTTTGCAAACAGCGAAACTGAGGCTCAAACATGAAGTTTCCAAGGTTATCCAGCAGGTGAGTAGCAGAGGCACGATTTGCTTTGCACCTGGGTCCCATCCACCAGGCTCACTGGCCACTGCTCTTCCCTGCTGACTCTCCCCATCCACTGAGAAAGACCCCAACAAGGAAACCACTGCTGCCCCAGGGCTACTATGCTTGAAAGCAAGGAAGCAAGGGGTCCTTCAAATTTCACTTTCCTAGTTCTTGTCAACAGTCTTTATGGGGTTTCAGTAAAGCCCCTCCAGATGAAAGTGGTTGCCTGATGAGCGATGAAATCCTCCACAGAGGTTCATTTACTAATTACATACAACATAAAACCGAACAAAGTAATAGACAATCGCCCAACCCAGGGCGTCAGGTTTTGCTTTTTTTTCCTCACTCTTTAACTGAGATTGCTTGCTTTATGTGATGTTAAAATTGTGGCTCTAAACCGGCTCCTGAGAAAACACAGTGATTTGCTGAATGCCCACATGAACTGCCAGAGATGCTGTGGCCAACATGGACTGGTGCAACTATCAATGTCAGAAGAAGCTGGGACATGGTGTCTCACTCAGGTGTGACCCTCGGCCCATCCCTTCCCATCTCTGGGCCTCAATTTTCCCATCTGTACA